TGACTAATGATGATAATGCTCGAACCTAATGAAGAAAAAAAGACAATTGAAAGCATCAAACGATATAAATAAAAATTCGACAAAAACAACAATAGTTAAGACTTTAAAGAAAAAAGATCATTACTGAAATTCAAAATAAAAAATAAATTAATAAGAAAGAAAATAACAAAAACTTAAAAAAATAACAATCTACTATGCTGATGACGTGGTTCCCATATGGCATTTGTTTAAACATGTCATCCAACATTGCGGATGACGTTAGATCGGTAATAACAACCAAATATATAATATAAACATTTTTTATAGTATATGATTGATTTGAACCCAAAAATAAAAAAATAATAATAATCAATACACAATTTTGATATTTATGTAAAATGCATGGTACAATTTAGTATTTGTATAATTATAAAGTTTACATAAATGTAATTGTATATTTTAAATTTATGTCAGCAAATTATAATAATAAATTTGTATCTATTATCTTATAATTACTCCAACTGTAAACTACTGACTAACATTTTATTCTCGAGTGAAATTTAATTAATGCTAAACTTGTACTGTGAACCGACTTTAACTAAGCGACAAAAATCCGACAGGTCTTTTCATTATCTTCTTCCCCAATTGAGGGAAGCCTTGGTTGGGTTAAGATAATCCTAGTAATTACCAATATAACAAAAGTGGTCCTCATTTCATGTGTTATATTATATACTTTTATTGCCTATATATATATGTATAGATACATATATAATAATGAAGAATTTGTATTTTCCAGACAACCTAAAATTACCCAAAAATAAAAAATAATAATTTTGCAATTGACTGCAGTTTTTTTTTTTCTTTTGGTAGTTCTTCAATTTTAAGAAATTTAAGTTAAATTTACCGTTTTAAAATGAAGTATTTTAATATATGTAATTTATAGATGAAAAAGATTATATTATATTCACATATTATTTGACCTTAACTTTATAATTTGGTTTTGATCATTACATATAAAATTATCAACTTTGTAAGCTATTTATTTACATATATATATGTATTTTTTAAAAAGAAACTTTGACTTCTTCCTTCCTAAATCTCCACAATATCTTAATTGTAAAATTCAATACCCAACTATAAAACATAAATTAGGTCCAATTAATCAAATAATAATTAACAACTATATAGTTTATATAAAATTAAAAAAAAAGGACATTGAACTTGAAATTAACATAAAATTAAAATTTTATGACATTACATAAAATGATTACATCAACAACAAACAAAATCTAAAGGCAAAAACACAAAAACATATTGCCTTTTTACACCAAATATATAAGAAAATTACAAAATACACCCCAAATAAAATGCAAATTACAAACCACACCCTCTTCCAAATTTACTGTCTCAACTCTAAAATCATGCAGAGAAAACAAGCATGAAAGAGGGTTTTTTAAAAAAAAAAAAACGAAACTAAAATATGACTTCTCAAGACAACTCCACACATATATATATATATATATATAAATGGGTTATAGATATAGTCCTGTTTTTCAACCCACAAAAATCTGAGTTAAAATAGGGGAAGTACCCATTTCAAACCATAGTTTAAGTCACTTTCTGCATAAAATAAAACATTAAACCAGCTGTGATCTGATTAAAAAATGACAGATTTCACAGCTTATGCACGTATATACATATATGCACGTATGTATATCTTTTATTGGGCTCTTGCGGCAGAGGAGATAGGATTTTCAATTCAAGAGAATTGAGATGTGGATATGGTGGAAATTACCCATCAAAGATCAGAGCTTTTAAGATGAGTCACTGGCAAAATCTGAGTTGTAGCCACTGGGCGGTGGAGTAGTAGAAGAATCACTGGAGCCTTTTTCTCCTCCTCCCAGGTTTCGGACAATTGCTTTGTTGAGTTTCGTAGCAGCGTAAGTAACATTCTTGACAAAGCTCTCGAAAATTTGAGCTTTCACTTGGCCTCTTCTCGGAGGCAGAGTTCTCGTCTTCCCCTCGTTATTCTTATTCTTATCGTTCTGTTTGTCTCCGGAGGTTGACATCGTCGTGGAAAAACAGAGGATGATGATCTAGAAAAACAGAGGAAAGCAGAGCACAAGAAGAAATTTCTTACGTTGAATTCTCGAAATATAAACATCGAAACTGAAAAAAAATAAATGGAAACTGAAATTAAATTTTGAATTAACCGATGATTATATGCTAATAATGGAAAAATTAAAAGAATTCTGCAAGGATTTATTACATGTAAGAAGAAATATTAGATGGATTCCTGTGGAGAAAAACAGAGCAGAAACAGAGTTATTGGAGAAGAAGAAGAACAACAAGAGAAACAGGGGGGGGAGGAATATTTTGTGGAAGAAGTGGGTAGGAGGAATTAATGCCGATTGTGAATAAAGCGTAAAGGGGAGGCGTAAATAGTATATATATACACATACATATAGTCATTGGTTTGTGGGACCAAAAAGTATATAGGATATTTCCTTGTATATTCTGTACACACCCCATTTCTGGGTTTTTGCTGGCCCAAAATTGAGCACCACCATATTTACAAAATTTAATATTTAATATAACATATACATATATTTTTGTATTTGTAAGTATTAAGAATTAAGAAAAAATAAATAAATTATGAGGTAATATTTTACTAAGAATCAATAAAATTTTAATTACCCTCTTAATTATATTAAAAAATATTACTATTGACATTTTAATCACAAACTCACAACACAAAAATAAAAATAAAAAAAATCATAGAATAAAAAATGAATATATTTATATTAAAATTTGTAAAATATAACTATAAGTGATCATACATAATGAATTTATATTTTTTTAAAAAAAATCATTTATATTAAAACCACTTGCAATCTCTTTTTTTTTTGAATTAATTAATAAAAGGATAAAGATAATGATTTATTTATTTATTTATTTTATAAAGTGATAGCATGAAGATTCAAAAAGAAATAATCAACACATTTTTATTATATAATTTGTTTATATATATACATATATACAACAAGAATGCTGGTGTATTACCAGCATTCTCTTTTTTATTATTTTTGTAAACGTTACAACATAAAAGCATACACACACACACACACATATATATATATATACAAACATATACATAAAGTTATACTGTGTTGTATTGTATTATGTCATAGAAATCTTATTTTAATGTAAAAGTGTTACAAGGGACCTATTAAATTCGAAGACTACGTAGATTAGATTATATATACGTATACATACATAAAGTATTATAATATATGCCATTGATATTTGAATTTAATTTTAAATTGACATAAGGAATTTATTAAATTAAAAAAATGACGTGGATAATTGTTAAAAAAATAATAAATCCAATAAATGACAACTGTTAGGCAGTTTGGATGGTCAAATCCACTAAATTTCCACACTGTTGCCCCAATGAACAAACCAGCCGCCTTCATTGGCTGCTGCCACGTCCTCTCGCTTTGGCTTTATCCGTAAGCGTTTCGATTATTTTATTTATTTTTATTTACACAACTTACGTTTTTTATTTATTTTAATTGTAACTAACTTTTTGAAAATATAGTTTTAATTTAAATTTAATTTTATTACACAATGCAAAGCAATACCATTACACGAATGTCTGCGACCCAATAACTACAATGACTACTACGCAACGATTACAATAAATAGTACTACGACAATGGCGACTACAACTATTAAGAATCTAAAGACATTTTGATGGATTATAATTAGTTATTTAAAGATATCTCAACGGCAATTGAAATAATTAAAAATCAAATATCTCAGCATTCATTTTCAAAGATAACCAAATCCACTAAACCATATCAATGCATTACTCGGGTTGTTCTTATCAAACGACATCATCATCTCCGTCTAGTCCCTGTTACCAAACCCTAAATGAGGTTGCTGCTGTGCTTGGGGGTTCATGTCGTCAGCGAAACATGCCTGCAGTTGTTGTTGTGCTTGGGGGTTCGTGTCGTCGATGAACAATGCCTGCAGCTCCTGCTGTGTTTGGGGGGTCATGTCGTCAATGAACCACGCTTGTGGCTGCTGCGGTGCTTGGAGGTTCGTGCCGTCAATGTACAATGCTTGCAGTTGCTGTTGTGCTTGGGGGTTCATGTCGTCAACGAACCACGCATACGGCTGCTGCTGTGCTTGGGGATTCATGTCATCAGCTAACCACGCCTGCGGCTGCTGCTGTGTTTGGGGATTCATGTCGTCAGCTAACCACGCCTGCGGCTGCTGCTGTGCTTGGGGATTCATGTCGCCAGCTAACCACGCCTGCAGCTGCTGCAGTGCTTGGGGATTCATGTCGTCAGCTAACCACGCCTGCGGCTGCTGCTGTGCTTGGGGATTCATGTCGTCAGCTAACCACGCCTGCGGCTGCTGCTGTGCTTGGGGATTCATGTCGTCAGCGAACCACGCTTGCGGCTGTTGTTGTGCTTGAGGGTTCATGTCGTCAGCGAACCACGCCTGTGACTGCTGCTGTGTTTGGGGGTTCATGTCGTCAACTAACCACGCCTGCGGCTGTTGCTGTGCTTGGGGATTCATGTCGTCAACTGACCACACTTGCAGCTGGTGCTGTGCTTGGGGATTCATGTCATCAGCGAACCGTTGTTGACTTGCTTGGGGGTTCATATCGTCAATAAACAACGCTTGTAGCTGTTGCTGTGCTTGAGGGTTCATGTCATCAATGAACCACGCTTGTGGCTGCTGCAGGTTATGTGGCAAAGAATCCTCATTGATTTGAGTGGATATCTCCCTATAACCGTTCATCATTCCTCCATCTGTGGCTCCCTGAGGCTGAGGCGACATACTGAGTGTTTCCATCGTCATTTGGATTTCCTTCAGGTGCAGTTCAATGAGCCAACCTAGATCATTGAGATCAATAAGGTTGAGTTGGTGGAAGGGTTTTCCCATAAGACTTTGAAACATGACCTGCGTAATCTCCTTCTTGCGGTTGTCTTTACGCTGCTTCTTCAGTTGGCCTGTTGTCTTTGTGATACTCTGGCATAGAAAGCTCTCTTGATTCATCATTTTATTTCTCTGCTCCATCTCGGACATCATTTTGAAGTCAACCAGCACGTGTTGGACTCCAATAGGGGAAGGCCAAACTTCTGGTTGCGAGTCATAAGGGTTGTAAATGATTACACAAGCTTTGACATCGCATAAAGTGCTGAGTTCGCTCACTTTCTTCATTAGCGCCTTCTTCCTTCTCTTGAATGTGGTTTTTCTGACAGAGTCATTAGTGATGTAGGCAAGCTTAACCCTTTTTCTAGTCATGGTATTTTGTTGTATCTTGTTAAATGGCAAAACAAGGTATGAAAGGGTATATATAAAATGAGACAACTGTTGAAAATTTTTTCATAAGGGATGAGGAGTGGAACATTGAATATATCATGTGAGGTTAGCTGTGATGCATCATAAAACTGCAAGTGGAGTGCCGAAATCATTTCTGTAAATGTTATGTTTTTAATAGAGGATATAGAAAAATCTTATGATTTAAGGTAATGTAATTCACAAAATTTAATTAGTGAATTATTGCACGGCTGTACTTACACAAAATCATTTAATGCTAATTGTCCCTTTTAATTGAAAGCTAATGATTCACTGTAATGCATGTATCTATCTATTCTCTCTCATATTATCCATAATATGCATTCACACTTGAAATCAATCATACGTGGCAACCATACCCACTGCCTTATCTTACACACACTCTTATATATTATCTTTCAACCATCAACTAATACGACCACTATCTTCTAAATCCAACTTAATTATATAGATTGATCCCCTACACTTACCACCATTTTATTTTGATTTTTTATAAATGAAAATACATAAACCATATATATATGTTATTTTTATTGAATTACTCTAATGCATCATTCTTGATATTCTATTTTTTATTTTGAAAGATAAATTTTATTCATGAGAAAAAAAAAATGCAATGACCCTCAATATTAATATTGGATTTTCGTCATTTTTTATTTTATTTTATAAATTTCGCGCTCTAAAAATTCTATTATCACTAAACTAAACTTAATTACATAAATTCTACTACCTCAATATTTACAATAATGAGATATATATAGTATGTAATACCCGAGGCTAAAATTTGGGTCGAGATTAATTTTAACATAAAAATATAATTTATTTTTTAAATTAATAAATTTTAATTTAATGTGAAATTATGGAAAAAATAGGTTGATGATAAAATTAAAAATAATTATGAGAAAAAGATGTGAAAATTTAGGTTCGGATGGTGTTTTTAAAATAAAATTAAAAATTAGGGGTCATAATGCAATTAAAAAAAATTACGCAACGTAGGACTGCCTAGTCAACAATCTCGACGAACCGGAGTATGCCATGTGGGAAGGCACGCTGACTTGGTGCCACGCGGGAGGTCAAGTTGGTGATCCGCGTGTCCCACGATCGGACGACTCGAAAGCGTTCTCGCACGCGTGGACAGTCCAGATTCATTCCATCTTCAGGTGTGATCGGACGGTCGTGATTAAACATAATGAACGGTTCAAATTTGTTCCCTCTTTAAACGCAATCAGACGATCAATATCAAATCGCGACGAACAATCCAAATTTATTTTCTCTTTAAATGCGATCGGATGGTCGAGATCAAACGCGATGAATGACTCAGATTAATGTGAGATAGGTATAAATATTTTGTATCACACCGAACCTAAACCCTAGTCACCAGCCTTCCGCTGGAGAAGAAAAACTAGTCACCGGAGAAGGGAGCCAACGGCCACTCGTTGCCGCGTTGAAACCACCTCCGACCGCCAAAAAAGGTAAAAATTCTCCTATCCGCTCAGAATTTGATTCAAAAATACCCCCATGGCCAAATCGAAGTAAAAAAATGGTGGGTGATCCAAAAATAGCGGGCAAAACCTGCAACCACCTCCGATGAGCCCCTTTTCATTTCCCGTTTCGTGCAAGTTTTCACCATTATGTTTTCTATAGATTGACCGAAGAAAAATGTCCAGTCGCGAAGATGAGTTGGTGGAGCCGCCGCTGTAACGGCCCCGAAAATTTAAAATGAAATATGTGTATTAAAAATTTCAAATGCGGAAGCGAAGTAAAAATTTCGATTAACATCCCTTACACCAAAACCAAAAACGTGCTCAAAATATAAAAGATCAAACTAACTAAAGGAGAAATTCGAAAGTAAAAGCTATGAATATGACTATGGAGTCTTTAGGCGTCCCCTTCGTCGTCTTCCTGCGGAACGGGCTCGGGAACAATGTCTTCCTGATCTGAAATGATTAAATAAGGAATGAGCTACACTAGCCCAGTAAAGACATGACGATATCTCACCGTCACGGAGGTAAAGGTGGGTAGAAAACACAAAAAGACCAATA